ATAGCTGTTTATTGCCCGGGTCTTATTCTTGCCATGGAGCTGGCTTCTTAGGACTTGCCTCACCCGCTGGAGGTATTTGGCCGTAGCCGCTTTCCCTGTTGCCAGTTCGAGGTTGCCATTGGCTTTGGTATACTGAGGTATTTGTAGCTGTCCTCAGTGTCTGCTGTTGTTCCTTCAGGGAGTGAGACCCCTTGAGTGTGGACTACCTTGCCTCTCTTAAGCCCCGTTCACACGCATTTCTCAAGCCTGAATGACATCCCGATGTCACTGTAGATCCCGGTTGTGTGGATCAGGGAGTCTATGTCCCTTTCGCTCTTAGCATAAAGCTTTATGTCATCCATGTAGAGCAGGTGAGTGATCATAGCTCCATTTCTGAGGCGGGATCCATAGCCTGTCTTAGCGATTAGTTGGCTTAGGGGGTTCAGTCCTATGCAGAACAGCAGTGGGGAGAGTGCATCACCTTGGTTTATGCCACATTTAATGGACATTTGGGTAAGTGGCTTGCCATTGCCTTCAAGTGTGGTTTTCCACATCCTCATTAAGTTTGCAACGAAAGCTCTTAGGGTCCTGTTCACCTTACACAACTCCAAGCATTCAGTGATCCATGGTTGGTGTGTCGGGACCTGCAATCTTGTGCGACTGTTCTGCCAACCAGGAGCTGATGTTTGGCTCCTCTGGTATCTCTACCATTGCCCTTCTGTGCTTTGCTCATGTACTGATCCATGTGTCCACTTATCTTAGCCGCAATGCTACCTGACATGAGCTTCCATGTTGTGGAGAGACAGGTTATTGGCCGATACTTGGATGGGATTGCACCCTTTGAGGGATCCTTCATGATCAGGATCGTTCGCCCTTCGGTTAGCCATCCTGGGTGAGTCCCGTCCCTCAGCAACTGGTTCATTTGTGCTACTAGGCGTTCATGGAGTGCTGTGAGTTTATTTAGCCAGTAGTTGTGGACCATGTCCGGGCCTGGTGCTGTCCAGTTTTTCATATCTGAGACTCTTTCCTTTAGGTCTGCCACTGTTATGGTAACTGGACTCCGTTCAGGGAGGTTGCTGTGCTCCTCTCTCAGAATCACCAGCCATTATGCACTGTTGTTATGTGTGGCCTCCTCCCATATGCCTTTCCAGTACCTTTCAGTTTCCAGTCTTGGTGGTTCTGCTCTGCTGTCATAACCCTGCCACTGAGCGTACACTTTCGCAGGTTGTGTTGCGAACAGCCTGTTTATTTGTCTGGCCTCATTAAAGAAAAATAAATAAAAGTCCGCGAGAGAGAAGCCCGACCCGACCCGAACCTGTTTTACTTACGCATTCGTGTCGTTTTGGTCCGCAGCAGACACTGCACGTGTGACCGCAAGTGGAACTGCTCCGACGCTGCGTCGGAGCTGTCACGCTCAGCGGCTTTGCACGTGTGACCGCTCCACAAAATTTGCTCCGGTGTAAAATATATTGCAACAAAATATTTCGGTGCAGCCTCGGACAAAATGTGTGCTGTGTGAACAGTGCTTTAGTCACCATCTGACTACATTTCTCAAGTCCGAATGACATCCCGATGTCACTGCTGTAGATCCTGGTTGTGTGGATCAGGGAGTCTATGTGCCTTTCACTCTTCCAGTCGCAGCTGGGGGATGACGTAATTAATATCATGAACAAGTGCACCTGGATGACAGGAAGTGCTATATATGCTTAACTTCACATGGCGAAGAGGTCCTTATTATAAGCACCAAGAAGTTGTTGCCCAAAAATCTTCACTGTCTTCCTCGACTGCATGTTTGTCTTGATGCTGTGATGCCCACAGCGGGAGGCTTTGTGACCGATGACACGCTCACTAAATGCACAACTGACATGAAGTTAAGTTTATATTTGATCAGCTGTTGCTAAGTTAAAGTGAAAGTCAAGCCCAAAATTGTTTAGACAGTAATATGTTCTATGCGCTCCGGCTAGTCTAAACACGGCATTATGACTACAGTGAAACTCCTCTGCAACGAAATCATGTTTGCAGCAAGAATTTTTTCAAAACGGGGTTTTTCACTGTAGCAAATTTGATCTCAGATGTAAACACACACACACACACACACGCACACACAAATGTATCTGTACTCTTTATTTTTCTTCCAATAGTGCATAAGTATGAGCACACACTTATTTGACACTACATATAGTCCGTGTAGAAAAAAAAGGTAAAGAAATTGCGAAATTTACGATCAGCATTCACTTACATCAATTTCTTGGCTAATGTATTTTATTTTGCTTCCTCCGTCTTTCATTTTGATCACTTTTTCCCTCTCTTCCAGCGCCAGAGCGCTTCTTGTCTTAGCTGCTTGACATCCAAAGGTCCGTTTTGTAGCCATTTTAGCAATGCAACGTTCATGCTGCGTCTGAATCGAACAATAACAAATACTTCCTGGACCCGGTGGCTTTTCTTTCCAACATCTCACTGTCTCTAACTCGGCCTCCCCTCGATCGCCACCCAAGACAGTGTTACTCAGCTGATGTCATGCAATGAACTTTTAAAGCCAGCCACGGGACGCTTCGTAGTCCTCGATGGCCATAGTTAGCACGATGGAACTCGCCTTCTCTCTAATTAGCGCTCCAGTTAGCGTAAGGTTTTTAGCATGATAACAAGTAAAGCATTCCAGGAAACCTTCATTTATTTTACTGTCCGTCGAGCCACAAGCAATTTACTCTGAGCAGCTAATCCGATGCATTCCACTCTTATCTCCTACGGATCTAACTTCAGTATCTACACACATAGACAGTGAGGTCCCTCTTGGCCAATCGGAGGCCAGGATGATGCTTGGTAAGCCAATGGCAGAGCAGCTATGAGTATGTTGCGTTCAGGAAACTCACAGCTGTGACCAAAATAAACATCGTTCACTATGTAAACCAGTGTGGTGGTTGCTGTTGCCGTTTTCAAACGAAGCAGTAGAGGTCGCTGTTGGATTACACTTTGTTGTGAATGTTTTCGCGAGGCAGGAGCAGAGAAAATGATTTCATATAACGCAACGGGTTTTTTTTTTCCGTCGTATGGGGTGCAGGAGAATGGGAATGGTGTTAATGCATGAAGATTTTTTTCACATTAGGGGGTATTTTCACCCATGAAGGTTTCATTTTAGAGGAGTTTCACTGTATTCATTGAGTATTCATTCAATGAGACGGCCCGGTACTCGAGTGGTTAGCACGTCGACTTCACAGTGCAGAGGTACCGGGTTCAATTCCAGCTCCGTCCTTCCTGTGTGGAGTTTGCATGTTCTCCCCGTGCTTGCATCGGTTTTCTCCAGGTCCTCCGGTTTCCTCCCACATTCCAAAAACATGCATGGCAGGCTGATTGAACACTCCAAATTGTCCCTAGGTGTGAGTGTAAGCGCGAATGGTGGTTCGTTTCTGTGTGCCCTGCGATTGGCTGTCCCCTGCCTACTGCCCGTAGACAGCTGGGATAGGCTCCAGCACCCCCTGCAACCCTTGTGAGGATAAAGCGGTTCGGAAAATGAATGAATGAATGATTCATTCAATGTTCAATATCAAATGAGTATTCATTGCACATCTGAGGGTATGGATACTTTGACAGTGCCTTTTCGTTCTACCTCTTAGCTGGGATGCATAAATCCTCGAGTTCTTCATTTCAATGATCAACTAAAGTAATTAGTTGTAATTTTATGTATCACATGTTTTAAAAGCAGCTACAATTATTTCAAAAAAGTTCTGCAAATAAAGGTTTTGTGTTCAAATCACACTTCTTTTTTCTTTTCTTCCTTTTTTTCCTCGGTCCATGTTAGTCACCAACTGTCAAAAATACTTGAATACTTTTGTTGATACTCTGTAAACAGTGCATACAGTACCATATAAACAGAAAACAAATAGAATTTAAATCGCTATATTGCTTCATCTTGTGGACAGATCTGTGACTGGTTAATGGAAACCTAATATTTACAATATTTAATTTTTATTAATGTTTATTGCTAGATTCCCGTCTTTTTCTCATCATTGGATTGTTTTTGTCTTTTTTCCTCTTGTCAGGTCATAGATGAAATCTACCGTGTCCTTCGATATGTGAACTCGACTCGAGCTCCACAGCGAGCTCATGAAGTTCTGCAAGAATTGAGGGACATCTCCTCCATGGCAATGGAGTATTTTGATGAGAAGATTGTTCCCATTCTGAAGAAGAAGCTGCCTGGAGCCGATTTGTCTGGGCGCCTCATTGGCTCTGCTCCAGGTAGTCTCTCTTTTTATTTATTTATACCTTCCTTCTCTCTTGATTTCAGATGGCAAATGAAAACATGGATGAGATCGAACTTGAGGGAGGGGGGGACCGACGGACATACTGCAGACCAAGGGTATCCAAACTTTTTGCAAATAGGGACAGATTTGTTGAGGGGAGCTGACTATTTAGCCTTCATTTGCTTTAATTTTTCATGGCGTTCGATCCCACTTCCCAGTCACCTTGTCATAGTTTGGATGTTTTTTCTGGTACTGCCTCTTGTTCAATTCCTGGTAAACAGCCACAGTCTCCACAGCAAATTAGGCAGACACAGTTGTCAAGTCAAGTCACATTTATTTATATAGCGCTGAATCACAAACGGTTTCAAAGGGCTTCACCTTGAGAAGGGGCCGCAGATGGGAGAATCGCCCTTCCAGAATAACCAGGCTGCAATGGATGCCGGGTGGGGCAACATGCCGGGTGGGACAGAGATGGGTCCCTCCTCTGAACCTGGCCCAGTTGGTTGATGAAGAAAACTTCATAGCAGCGCCTATGAAGATGTGGTTGACCCAGCTCTTGCCCAGCTCAGTCGGTGCAAATCATGTCCATATTGATCGGAGTAGAATCTGTTTAGCGGTATCCAATTGGGACATCATCACCTAGCCACCCCCTCTCCAGATCAGGGAGGAAGGAGAAGGACAAACAGAAGAAGCGGGAGGCCAACATATAGTTCAAGAAAATGTAAGAGTACACAAATGCGTCTGAAGTTGGGTTTTAAACATTCCAACTGAGGTAGCTTCTCTAGTTTCCGTGGGTCGGCCATCCCGAATAGAAAACGGTCTATTAAATGCAGACTTCTTTTTGGCTCTCAGAATAACGAAACGTGTTGTGAACGAAGAGTTCGGGGTGGAAAATCCGGTGTCACGAAGTCAACGAGATAGGAAAGTGCTAAGATGTGTAATATTTTATTAGTAAGTCGCAAAACCTTGAAACTGCATCTCAAATGGATCGTACGATGTGATCGTACTTTCTTGTCCTCGACAGGAGTCTAGCTGCAGCTTTTTGTACTAACTGCAAGGTTTTATCACTGTACATGGGAAGATCAGAGAGCACTACGTTGCAATAATTGAGGAGGGATGTAACAAACGCATGAATTATATCTTCGCGATATTGCGAAGGTGAAAAATCCCTGCAGTTCTAGTTATATTCTTAATGTGCATTTGAAAAGAGTGTTGAATCAAATATAACACAGAGATTTTTTTTGCTGAATCACTTTATAATACTTAATTTATCAAGTCTAAGAGTAGTGTCCTTGAATCGGTGCTGATGCTGAGCAGGGCCAATAATCATCTCAGTTTTACCAGGTTTAGAAGCAAAAAAAAAGAAGTCATACATAGTTTAATCTCACCAAGGCATGCCTCGAGATTGCAGCAGCTGCTCAGGTTAGTTATTCCTAACGGCATATATAAGATGAGATAAGATAACCTTTATTTGTCCCACACTGGGGAAATTTGCAGTCTACAGCAGCAACATTGGGGGCCGGGGGGGAAAGAAAAAATAAAGTGTTTCATTCCACAAAATAATGAACTGTACACAGTTACAATATAAGTGCAACATAAAATAAAGCATTAGCAATATATTTGTAGAATAGTTGGGCATTATCAGCATAATAGTGAAAACGCAAGTTATATTTCTCTATACCACCGAGAGGAAGCATGTTGATGCTGAACAAGAGAGGGCCAAGTACCGATCCCTGTGGGACTCCACATGTAACATTACAAAACTAAGAAGTCATATTACCACGAATTACGCAGTGTGTCCTCTCTGAGAGGTAAGAACTAAACCAGGGAAGATGTGAGCCTGAAATACCAACACACTTTCTGAGGTGTTCCAATAGTATGTTATGATCGACGGTGTCAAAGGCAGTGCTAAGATTGAGTAATAATAATATTGATGAGTTGTCAGAGTCCATCATGAGGAGATCATTGGTCACTTTAGCAAAGGCCATTGCAGTAGAATGGTGGGCCTTAAACCCTGACTGAAATGGCTCAAATCGATTGTTAGCGGCCATGTAATCAGTAAGCTGCTGCGCTAATACTTAATCAAGAATTTTTTTCAATAAACGGGAGATTTGATATACGCTTATAGTTACAGAAACTCTCTGGGTCAAGATTTGGTCGCTTAAGAAGGGGTGGAATAACATCAGTCTTTAACGCTACTAGTACAGTGCCAGAGGATAGTTATAAATTAATCATATCTAAGATAGACGGTCCTATGATAATAATAATAATAATAACAATAATAATACATTTTATTTGAAAGTGATTTTCATCATACTCAGACAATTAACAAGAGCTTAAAACAGGATAAAAATTTACACTTAAAGACAAGCATACAGGATTTACAAAAAACATTGAGATGAACAAAAAAAGCAAAAATGGGTAAAAGAGATTAAAAGGTGTTAAAAGTATTGCGGAACAGGTGAGTTTTAAGAGATAATTTGAAAGATTGGAGGTCAGTACAGTTGTGGATGTGTTGTGGTAGAGCATTCCAGAGGGTGGGGGCGGCGACAGAGAAGGCTCGGTGATCCCAGGTTTTGAGCTTGGTCACGGGGATGGCGAGGGGGTTTGTGTTTGAGGAACGGAGGTTGCGGGAAGGAGTGTATTGGTAAAGAAGGTCGGAAAGGTAGGAGGGGGTCTGATTGTGAAGGGCTTTGTAGGTGAGTAGGAGTTTAAACTGAATACGCTGGAGAACGGGGAGCCAGTGGAGGGTTTTAAGGATGGGGGTGATGTGATCACGAGTGCGGGTGTGAGGGCAGTAGACGGGCGGTGGCATTCTGGATGTACTGTAGTTTATTGAGGAGTTTGGAGGTTGTACTGTCGAGGATGCTTTTGCACTAGTCAAGGCGGGAGGTGATGAAGGCGTGGATGAGGGTTTGAGCGCCGTTGAAAGAAAGTGAAGGACAGAGACGAGAAATGTTTTTGAGGTGGAAGAAAGCAGTTCTGGTGATTTGGGTGATGTGTTGGTTGAAAGAGAGGTTATTATCAAAAAGGACACCGAGGTTGCGACAGTGAGAGGAGGGGAACAGGGTGCAGTTGTCAATAGTGAGGTTAAATTTGGAGGCTGTTTGGGTGAGGGACTGAGAACCGATTATTAGCAGTTGAGATTTAGTGCAGTTAAGAGTGAGAAAGTTTGTTTTCATCCAGGATTTGATATCTGAAAGACGGTTAAACAGGGTGGAGTGGGTTGTTGGGGTAAAAAATTTGGTGGAGATGTACAATTGGACGTCATCAGCGTAGCAGTGGAACTGGAGACCATGATGACAAATGATTTGGCTGAGGGGTAGAAGGTAGAGGATGAAGAGAAGAGGACCAACCGCAGAACCCTGGGGGAAACAGTGGGGCAGTGTAGGAAAAGCAGTTGTTGATGTGTATGAATTGTTTCCTGTCTGTGAGATATGAGCGGAGCCAGATGAGGACTTTGTTGGTGATGTTTCGGGATTGCAGGCGAGAGAGTAGGATGGAGTGGTTGATGGTGTCGAAGGCAGCTGTAAGGTCGAGAAGGATGAGGATGGGGAGTAGGCCGGAGTCAGAGGAGAGGAGGAGGTCATTGGTGATTTTGAGGAGGGCTGTTTCAGTGCTGTGTTGTGTGCGGAATCCAGATTGAATTTGTTCGAAGAGTTGGTTATTGTCTAGGTAGGTTTTAATTTGAGATGTAATGGCACGTTCTATGACTTTGGACAGAAAGGATAGGTTGGAGATGGGTCGAAAGTTGCTCATGAGGAGTTTGTTGACGGTAGAGAAGAGAGCCTTTTGGTTCTTGGAGTCGGTGTGGATAAGGTTGGAGTAGTAGGTGGAACGGCTGGAGTTGAGTGCGGTCTTGTATAACTGAAGGTGATCGGTGTAGGCAAGGAGATGAACAGTTAAACCGGATTTTTTATAGTCTTTCGAGCTGGCGTTTTCGAGATTTAAGTTTAAGCCTTAATTGTGCAAACGTCAATCGAACCCTTACAAGAAGAAAAGGAAGCAGTTGACACAGGCAGTAGCTCAGAGAGCGCAGTCGTGGTTAAAGAGCTAATATTGTGGCTGCTATAGCTTTGATTGTGGTCACAATGATGGCCTTGAACTAAGGCTTCAAATCTTTTAAAATAATGTTCACATATAGCAGTGCTAAATGGTAGTACCATTACATTTGCGGTTGCTAGCCAAATCTATAGTGTTACCATTGTTATGGGTTGCTTCGTCTATTATCTGCGTGAAACCAAAAGTATCAATTATTGTCTGAAATGCCGCGACAAGTGGTTCCGTCGGGAGATTCATATGAAGATTAAATTCACCCATGATTACTATATTATCTCCATGAGTTACCAAGTCAGCCACAAATTCAGAAAATTTATTTAGAAAGCCAATGTAAGGGCCAGCAGTTGGATGAATCACTGAAAGATAAAACGGCAACGAAGCTGTGGATCGCTTAACAAGAGCTTCAACAGTTTTAAAGGTGCTGTTTGACCAAGGACTAAGTTTGAGAGCAAATTCTGCAATCATGACTACACCCCCGCCCTTCGTACAAGGATGTGCCGCATGTGAACAGATTTAGCGGTAAAAAGTCATTGGGTTTTAAACAGGTCTCACAGGGAGTCTGAGCTCTTCAATATTATCAGGATCCTAGTCGCAATATAAACGAGATTGCATTGTCGGGGTCCCGTATTGTTCATTGAGGAAATAAAGGCGCGACCAGAGGTTACAAACATAGGAATCTGATGGGTATTTGTTGGCTCTTGAATACTTAGATTGGAAGCTGACACTGTATCTTCAATATGACATATAATGCCTAAACTAGTAGCACTGGCTCAGTAGAAAGCATGTCAATATACAATGCAATAAGTAGTGTATCAATTTGTTGCGTGTGATGTTCTAATCCATGGAGAAAACTATCTGTGTTATTAATGTCTAGCACAGCGCTAGTTAGCTCTAATCTTACAGATTCCACACCCATCCTTACAGATTCACGAATAA